CACATGTAATTCATGATTTAAATGTGAATCACATGTAATTCATATGTGATTCACTTCTGATTTACATTGGAATTACATGTGATTAATATGTGAATTACATGTAATTCATATGTGATTTACTTGTGATTTACATGTGATTCACTTGTGATTTACATGTGAATCACATGTGATTCACTTGCGATTCATATGTGAATTACATGTGAATCACATGTAATGCATATGTGATTCACTTGTGATTTACATGCGAATATGCCATATTATATTTAGATATGGATATATAATCTTATATTCATATGTGAATCTAGCATGCAATATTCACATGTGAATATACTACATAACATTCACATATGAATATCTAACTAACTAGAATTCCAAGAAATTGAGTAGTGAGGGAAATATTTTTTTTGTATGTGTGTAAACGGTTGCATTTCAGGGTGAAGAATAAATTTACCTTCCAGGAATAGGGTCCTACGTAATAAAGGCACAGGGTCCGACTTTATAAACAACTTTCCTTTTCCATCCTACAAAAATGCAAAAAAAAATATTATTTAATAGTAAACGAGTATAAAAATTGTTGTTATTATTATTATTATTATTATTATTATTATTATTATTATTATTATGATTATTATAGGGAATAAAGAAGATATTCAACCTAACTTAAAAAGTTTAGATACAAGTCAATTAAACAACAGTTGGGGCATGCATCTGATTTGTAGGTAGTCAAAACAACATTTTAGTGATGAGTATAGAGAGTAAAATAATAAATTTTCTTTGATGTTTTCAATTATAGAATAAAGCAAATGAAAGGCTCCTAGAAACTATATTCATTACCTTGATCTAGAGTTTGAAAAAGTCTTAAATTTCATTATCTGCAAAATGAGTTTTGTACAAGGAAACATAAATTTACTCACCAGAAGGTAAAATGAGTAGTAAGCAGCCTTGTACTGAACAATCCTACAATGACTGCATCAGTAGGACAAAGGAATAAATTAGAAAAATGTAAGATTTGGATAGATAGACTGAAGAAAAAAGTTAAAGGTGGTTTGGTTTCTTACATATATAATGAATACTTTGACAGATCTTTCTCTCCTACAAGTGTAGTGATCAAATCAATCATCTCTCTAGAGGCTGTTTGAAATTCTACGTGTGCTTAAAAGTACAATATATATATTAGTTACTTGTAAGTAACTACTAAAAAAGTAAAGTATGTGAAGAAGATGAAGAAAAGCAATTAGCAACCTCATTGAACAGGTCAAGTAGGTCAATGTAATACGACTTTCCACGGAAATGTTTCTTGAGAATTCTTGCAATATGGCTGCAAAGAATTATTCCATCATTTTCAACAATCATACCAACCTAGAATCAACTTTCACTATTTTAGATATCATATAATGAAATGAAAAGGAAGTATTATATTAGAAAAATAGAATATTAGATCATTGTTGTTTGTAGAGTTGCAACTTGGGTAATCTGAACCAACAGGTTGACCTCTGTGGGTATGAGAATCGTCCATGATGTCATCAAGCACAAGGATGTATGCTTGAAGCCGTCAATATTTACAACAATGGACTTTAATTAGTATATATCATGCAATAGAAATGAAAGGAAAACAGGTCAGCCACCATTCTCTTAATTCTTTGAAATATACTCTTGGAGAATGGCCGTACAATTCCTAAATAATAGCCAAGAAATTCTTATTGATCAAAAGAGAAACATATATGAAGGAACATATTTATACAAAATCAAAAACTAATTTACTGAATTGGAAGTATAATATCAAAAGTTTGAACTTATAAATCGAGAAAGGATAGAATAAAGTTATAAATACCTACCCGAAGACCAAATTCAAAAGATGATACAATTTGAAACATAAAGCGAAAGTGGAGAGCAAAAATCAAACTAAAAAAGACGTTGAGTTTACAGTGACATGAAATTCAGATTTAGATATAGATGTAAGTATGGAATTGGAATTGGAATTCCGAATTTCGAAAGATGAAGGAGTGTTGTATAACTAACCTGTTAAATGGATGAGGTTTCGACGATTGTGAATTGGGGAATTGTTGCAGTGGTCTAACTAAATATTGATAAATTGGGGGTAAAATACCGTGTTCACTTCCAAATCAGAATTTGCTAACTCTATGAGGAAGAACGTGAGCATGGAGGCGACACTATTTGGAGGTGATGCGACGATAGAAGGAAGTAAGTAATTGGATGCCTTTTATGAAGAACCTCAATATATAAAAATTGAGGCGACTGATATCCTCAATAAACCGTCGGAGTTGATCGGCAGTCATATGGATCCCATCATCGGAGTATTTTGTAAACGATTCTTTTACATCAGGCGGCAGATCGGTTCAATCGAGATAATGAAGAGGTAGAGGTGGTGGGTGAAGGGAGGAAGGAGGCGATCACCGGATGAGGAAGGATGTGTCTTTGATCGTCACTGAAGAACGAGAATGGTAGTGTTTGTTTTGAGGGATACCGACGGACCTCAAAAAAGGTTCAGATATGTTTATTTAGGGCAAATTTTAAATCCCTAAAATGGCCTTACGTGATTTAATTAAGATACCCTTCCGTGTTTTTTTCCCATGTATTTACAAAAATGCCATAAAAGATCTTAGCCTTTAATTTTTTAATCTGACGGTTCAGTTTTAGTTCTCAGGTTCTCGGGAAACTATGATTTCTCAAATGATCCTTCCGTATATATATA